TATTATCATTATTATTATCATTATTATTATTATTATTATTATTATTATTATTGTTGTTGTTGTTGTTGTTATTATTATTATTATTATTATTAGAAGAAGAAGAAAGAGAAATTAGGAGGAGAGATAGTGTAGATATTAATTAGGAGAGAGAAATTTGAGGAGAGATAGTGTAAATATTAATGAGTGATGAATAGAAGGAGAGAGAAATGAGTTGGTGGAATAAAATATATAGGTGAGTTAGTAGGTTTGAAAATTGAAAAAAGTATGAATAGTGAATTTCCAATAGAAATTTGAGAATGAAAAATGGGATTTTCTGGATAAAATTATCAAACAAACATAATCTCAGTTTTATGTATAGTATAAAACTGGAAATCCATTTTGGAAATAGAAACAAACATCCCCTTAGCTTCCACACAGTTGTCATGCAAAAACTGCATGAGTTGCCACAATATTGATGTTTTGTTTTATTCCACACGCAATATATTTTTAAATATATATATAAATATGTGTTACTTCTGTGATAAGACAAACCCTCAGTTGCACAACTTTGACAACTTCAATTTGGAAATTGGAAGCTTATGCCCTAAATTATTTTCCAGCTGCATTTCTCAATTTAACCATTTTTTGTCAACCAAAATTCTGGTATATTTTTTTATTTATAATGAATGAATCTGGCAGCCAATTATATAGGTACACTAGTGAAATATACACTCATCATTAAAGAACGTGAACCATATACTAGGTTAACTATGTGTGACAAACTCGATTTGACGATCATTGGCAAAATGATTCGAATTTGAGTCAATTTACACAAACTATGTTGCTTCAGCCACTAGATCATTCCTTACGGAACCAAATTCTGATAATTAATATGTACAGTATATAATATATATATAGTCAAGAAATTTGAAATAAAATAGTAATTCATAATTATTGTTAAAATTCAGGATGAAAAATGAAATAATATTGTTACAAAATCGAAAAATTTCGAAAATAAAATGCACGGAATTAAGATATTTCGTTACAATGTCGACCACCAACTATAGTGTGTCAATTGAAAGTGGGGACATATAATATAGGAATATATCCACGTAGACAAAATTTACCAATTTATTCACTCTTGATATATAGGGGAAAATAAGACAGCTTTTGATTAACTGTTATTTATTTTATTTTTTTGTGTGGGACAAGTTGTCCGCTAATGTTTTGTTGTCACTTGATAAAAAAAGTGAGATGTTTTAAAGTGGTTACACCAACTTAACTTACGTGCCAAATAGATAAATATACATACCAAGATATGATAATCAAACCATTCAATAATTGAGTTATTTCTTTTGATTTGATTTTGAATTATTTTGGTGATTAAGGAATTCTTATCCACACGTACAAAATACTATCAATTTTTTTATCTTTTTTTTTCTTAGTAAATGATTTGTAGTCTTGTAGTCATAGATGTTATATCAGATAATTCACGTGATCTAGCAGTTGCAGTAAGTGAGCAAGTATCAATTTTTTTTATATATCAACTATCGGTGTGTGGAATTTATCACACATAATTAGGCTAATGTATTTTACGTAAACTCTTTTATTTTTCGTCAATTTAATTTTATAATAAATTGGTAGTTTTTTTTTGATGGATTTGTGTGGAAAATAAATGGGGCACGGGGGTACCCCATCCCTGCTTACGAATCTGATAGTTGGCCGGTCGCTCTCTCCGCCGTTTTGTGCTTATCTCTTCTTCTTTTATTTATTTATTTATTTATTTATTTATTTATTTATTTATTTATTTATTTATGTATTAGTTTGGGCTATTTATAATATATTAATAAGTGGGCCTACTTGTTAAGAAAGAACTAAAGAATGTCACACTATACGTCATTCTTTGCTTAGGCTTTGTCTGTCCATAATAATAATAATAATATTACTATTATTAAT